CTCCCCTAACACGGCGTCGCACACGCCGCACCCGCCGCCTATCGCAGGATTGCGATGAAAGATTGGAGCGCGCAATTTGTGAGGTAGGGAGTCCTTTAATCATTTGAATTGGCTGGTCGCTCCCTTCAATTTCAATGCGGTATTGATCGTCGTCTATATAAGAGGAGTCATTTTAATTAAACAAGTCTAATAAACATGAAAACTAAAAAGAAACAGAAGAAAAAACGATAAAATCCAATGAAAAAGCAAGCCAGTCAAGGAAAAATATCGCGTCCTATCGATTTTCGGGAGGCGGGATGAGTACGGTAATTGCAGTGACATCTGCCGCATGCCGCAAGGGAGAATGCCGCGATAGGGGAGAAGTTCCGTTACCCGCAGTCGCGCGCTGTGAAAGGAAGCTTTGAGCCCTCTGTGGAATGATACGGTAGTCGCGAGGGAACCACTGCCGCTTGCTATGGGAATTCGGGGAGAAGTGCCGCACATTTAGGAGATGGTCTTGTTTCAACCACGACAGAAGCCAAAATGGTTAAGACGTGAAGGTGATTCAGTGGCATGCGCATGCAAATATTTACTACCTTGAATAAGCCTCGAATCGCGAAACACTTCTGCGTCGTTCGTCGAATAGTTTCAACTCGAATAAAGTTAAAGTAAAACGCGATCTTTTGTTTTCTACAGTGCTTACCACGCATGAAACGTTTTAATTATATTTCTGAATGTTTTCAATGTGTTTCGGGAAGCATTGTTCTGAACTGCTATTCGTTTGGGCATTTTTGCTGGTTTTTCAAGTACTGAACTCCACAAACAATAGAAATCCATTATGTCGATCACATGGAAGAAAATTCACGCATTGTTTTAGTCCCTAACACGGCCGTCAATGATCCTGTGCAATTTCTGGGTGGGACCGAGGTTTTTGACAGCTTCCAATTCGGTTGCCTTTGCCTCTCGCTTTCGCCTTCTTTGTAGCTTAAGACTCGAGGACTGAACCTTCAACATTCTATCGACGCTATTGTTTCTATTAGAATTTTATTTATGGATTTCGATTGAAAACAGAGTTGTTCTAACGTGGGCTCTAGAGTTTATTTGGGAGAAGAATACGAGGGGGCTTTTCATTGCTATTTTAACTCTCTCAGCTTCAAAAAGTCGGAAGGACGATTCGCGCGAATTCTCGATGATCAAAACTACAGGATTATGAACTTATGGTTCCACTTATCTCTAAGCTTTTATAGCCATCAGTAAGCTGACGCGATTCCAAACTCCATATAGAAGCAATTCATCAATGAAGCTGACTTTTTGCAACCACTGGTACGACCGCTCCTGTAGTACGAAGAAACAGATTAGTCTATCAGTAACGACTACGTCACAAAGATAAATGGACTTCAAAAATCGTTTGGACAAGGTTATGTCCATAAAAGCCTCAGTTACTAAATGCGCATTCAGTTCCCTGGACCGAGTTTCTACATTTCGTCTGTGGTGAGAAATGTTTCTGAAGAGGCTCGTAGCGAAGGCTGAATTTTTTTNTTTTTTTCTGTCAGTATGTTGCCATTTCCAATAGTTTGGAGAAGTGACCTTCGTGCAAATGAAATTCATTTCAAAGTTCTTTATTATTAAGGAGCGCGTTGCACACCGCCAAACTGTTGTATAGCGTATGGAACACCTACTACTTAAACCGAGAACGCTTTCTACCATTTCCCATGTTTACTTTAGGTTCCTTGAAATGGAAGACTCGATTTTAAGGAGCTCGGTCTCCCTCTAACACCACCATTGCTGTGTGCTCAGATGGAGTATGAAAGGTTTTTTGGATAGCCCAGGGACTAAACCTGTATGTCTCTTTGCATCTCTGTTTATTTATTATTATTTTTTTCGCTCAGGTTGCCGGAAAGGAAGATCTGGGTCAGAATGTTTACTCTTCAACAGCCATCGCCTACTGACTGAAGAATTCCATGCTCTCTTTAAAGAATTTTCCAGTTCTCTTCTTGAGTCATTGAGACGTTCCAGCGTATGAAATCCTTTGCAGTCTAAACTTTGGTGCCCAATTGTCATTAAAGACGATTTTTTCATTATGACTGTCTAAAATTTTTCCGATTTGGTTGTGAGTTCTCTTATCATCGGGGAGCAATACGTCGGCCGGGTTAACTCTAGGAACACGTCGGATGAAGTTTATAGAAGGACTGCAAACAATCCCCTCTCAACTTTTTTTTTCAATAGCTCTGTAACTTTGTTCTCTTTGATGCTTTTACTACAAAACACATATCTTCTTCGAGTTTCAACCTACAACTTCACAGGCCCATGCAATGGGTGTTTCATCTCCTAACACATCCAGTTGTTGCAATATATTGAGAACGCTTAGAATCAACAGTTTTATGACTTCTTCCAACTACGGGCATAGGTGCAAAAAAGTGATGAATCGTTTCGCGGTGAGTACTAAAGCTTTTGATATCGAAGCATCATATATGAGGTAAGTGGGAGGCACGTTCTGAAAAGAAAAGAATTTCCACTAAATGATGAAATTCGGACAGAAAATGGAGTAAATATTGACAATGATAGCCTTTATAATGAAACACACGGACGTTTCGAGAAATGATGACAGCAGAATGGAATGAAACGTTTCCCGTGCGTTCGTGATTGGGCAAATACAGATCGAATTCGAGAACGAGATCGTCTTTCTCCTG